GGGACAAAGGGTGAAAAGAGTTGGCTGTGTAATTTGAGATCGTTAGGTGGTCGTGAGGTCGGGACGATTAGCGGACAATTTGTCTTAATAACTTCTGTCGGCTAATCCCACGAGCCTAATTCCTCGAGCCCCGGTGCGTGCGTTGTCCCGCAGCTAATAAAGGCGTTTCTGCCGGTTGAAAAAGTTCTCAAGGAAGTCAGCGGGGCTCGCGAGCCGCGCGTAGTAAGATGATTTCATTATTCCGCGTTTTATAATTAGCATCCACGGTTATCCCGGAGGAAGAGCAACGGCTCGGAGCTTTTCTAATGAGGCCGAAGTCCCGTGGAAGTCGTCGCTTCCGCAAAACGATCCTGCGGCCAGATTAATGACGTCACAGCCGATCACGATCATTCACGCGACACGTTCTCTCCGCCTCGTTCACTCTCGGCTATTATTCGCGCTGGATCTCGATCCGTTCGTGCGGTGTTTTTCTACGCGTCGAAGAGAAATTCGCGTAGCGAGAGATACGTGACGAGCAGGGGCGCGACCACGCTGTTTCGTTGACGATTAACGGGACATTGGATCGGTGAACACGCAACGCGCGCGATCGTTATCGCCTCCGCCTAAGGAAAAAAGATCATTTACTTTTTTTCAGACGTTTGTTCTTACGAGAAAAAATATTGCTTCTTTTGGCAAAAACTCTCTTGGCGGTATCCTCGCCGCAGATATTTGAAACGTGTCGCGACACTTAAATATCGTTTTAAGCAAGTTTTTATTCCTCTTGAAACATCTTTGAACAATGATTATACGACATCCTTTTACATTATACAAAGACCTTTGACCAATGTTGTTAACGGGACGGTTTCATTAACGCAATTTTGTCCAATCAAACCACCCCCCCCCCCATTCTTTAATATTAGAATTAATATGATTCCCTCGACGTCGTTATGTCTTCCATCCGTACGTGTCTTATAATTTTCATGAAACTTTCGGGTGAGTCTGTATTTGTAATCACGATAAATCCATAATCGTTCGATCCTTAATCGAAATCCTGTGTCTACGAGATTAATCTGCGAACGAATAAATTGGATCGGATGAACAGGGAAGATGCGATTCTGGAAGAGCAAACACACGCGTCTTCCCTCTCCATCGGCCAGGTTGTTAATCTTGTTATTTGCGATCTTGGCGCGAGATCGGTAGGGATCCTTTGATAGCACGTTACCGGAAACGTTGTAGCCTCTCGTGCGATCGCTTTAATTATCGAATTCTTTTTTCTTTTGTCCGTTGAGGCAGTCTCCGAGGAAGGAGTCCAATTAGCATCGAACCGTGGCGATCGTTACGGAGGCCGAACGATTTCTCGTCGCCCAGCGTAATCGCAATCGGTTGCTCGTTACGAAATCCTTGGACACTTTCACCTCCGGGCCTGCAGGAGTATGGCGTGGCTCCGTCCAGGTACCGTACACGAGCGTGCACGATCCTACACGAACGGGCACGAACGATGGCGCGCCGGCAGTGTCTATCAGCGGCAGACATCCGTTTGTCTGGCCTCGGTTCGACCATAAGGCCCCCAAGGCTGTTTTACTTGAATAAATGTATGCGCGACTGATCCTCCCGGTCGAACGAGCCGCGACCAGACTTCGGTTTCGTTGACCTGCCCACTCTCGGCTTCCTTCGTTAACTCTTTTGCCTCACCGCCTTTCTTTTCGTTCTTCGGTTGTTGTGTAACAGCGACGTGTGTGTCGGATGAAAGGTACAATTTCCACTTGTTAATCACCGGTTAAGCTACCAGAACAGTCAGGAAAATGGTCCGTAATTTTTCATTTAGGATTTTTGAAGATCTTGATAATTTTCGACGTTGTGGGACAATTAATCGGCCATTTTTGTGTAAAACGTAATCGCTGGCGGATCAACCATATTTATTCCAGTTCGTAGTTTATATTCATGGAAGCAAGAACTGGTTATAAATAATTATTAAAAGAAGACCGAAACTGGAAGATTTAACGCCATAAACAGACGATGACTAGTTTCTTCGTGTTGGTTGAACGCATTTACATAGTTCACTTTGGACAGTGACTCACACACGGATCCATGTAAGGCCCAACGTCGCGTCCGAGACTCTCCACCTCTCTCATGGACCTGGACCTGCACGCCTACGGCGAAACGACGAGTCGAGAAACTGCGAGATGAAAAGGAGTGTGAGGAACCTCGAAAAGGCTGGGCCCGGCCTACGTGACTCGATTTCGTAGTCAAACGTGCATAAATACGTCGCGGTTTGAAATATCGGGAGCGTTGCTCGGGCCGAAAATGCGCACAGCTCGTTAATTCTTTGCGCTCGTGGGAGGATAGAATAATCTCTTCTTCGTATCGCTCCCATCGATCTTACAGCGTCGATCGATCTACCGAGCAATTAGGGTGAGACTCTTGCAGCCCTAACTCCTTTATGGCCACGTTACATTTACAAATGTACCGACGAACGTTGAAAAGCGACGTTGGCGAAAGCAAATTCTTCTCGCTGACGGTCCGAATATCAAAACTTTCCACCCGAAGTGGAATTTAATTTCGATCGGCCCAATGATCGGTTCGTAATTTTTTTCACATCTATTTCGACAAGAAATCATGAGATCTCATCTCATCTTATTGTCTCATTGATATATTTGGATTACTTATATCGTTCAAGCCTAGATTTAAAAATTTTAAAAATTGAATATAGTCGAAATCTGTGACTCGGAGAATCCCATCTCACACTGTTCAAAGCTGTTCATATTTGGATCACTTCGATCGTTGCACATCGCTTAACAGTCAAATCGTTCATTTTCAAACGTAGACTTTTGAAATTGAATTCAGCGAAAAAATTTTGACTCGGAGGGCCCTACTTTTTGCCTACTGTTCAAGTTTTGTCATATCACAGATTTGGACCGCTTCAACTTGAGAGAAATTTCATCTGTTCCACTGTCGCCTGATAATATCCATGCCCCTCGAGATTCCTGCTCGAGTGTTACAGCTTTATCCGTGTTTTCCGTCAGATAGATACCGCAGGATACCGGTGGACCGCGAGAGGTTAAGCCAGCGGTTGCGAAAAATGCCGGTATCAGCGGCAAGGGTACCTGCTGCACAAAGTACCATCGGACGGATCTCACGTGCGCGCCGTTAAAAAGATGTTGCTCCGTTCCGCGTCGACGTCCGGCTGCGCACACCGTCTGTCTCTGGCTCTGGTGTGCGTTGTTAGTTGTGTGTTCGCGTGTTGTTAGTTGTGTGCTTGTGCGTGTGTGCGTGCGTGTGTGTGTGTGTGGGGTTCGAACTCTCCCGCCAGTGCACGAACGTACGGGGCCGTCAGTGTCTCTCGCGTTCTCGCACTGGGAACAACTCCGACTCGATTGCGCCGTCGCGTCTCACCTTCGCAATTTTATCCCCCTTTCTTCCCCAGTGTCCCTGCGTGTTATCCATTGTCTGCTACGTACTATATCGATATTTAACCAAAAGAAAAAAAGCAGAAGAAAAAGTGAGAATATCCCTTTAGGAGAGTCTCGAGAAAGCTTCTGATTCCGAAAGGAGACCGAACAATCCGACTAAATGAGAGTTTTGAGTGGTTAGAGCGAGAACACCGCGTCGTCCCTTTCTTCCCACCTTCCTTCTCCTTCTTCCCTATTTTTCCTCCCCCTTTCACTCCTTTTTTTATCTCCCTTCCTCTTTGTTTCCCAGAGCTTTTTAAGAGCCTCAGCAAGGTTCATCGGGCGATTTGACATGGAGACTGGAATCCGGAGACTGCTTCTCTGCTGGATATATGTTCTTAGTGTGGCAGGGGCGAACGGTGAGCAAGTTCACGGTGCATCTATTTTTTTTTTTTTTTTATACAAAGAAATTATCTTTCGGCCAGGATTATCTCGCGTCGTACAGAATTATCTATTGCACGTGTTCGGTTCTAAGTTCCGAAGACACTGAATGGATTTATCGATCGTGCTCCTCTCTCTGGAAACGTGACGTTAAATTAACACTAATCAACTCTCTAGAATTTTGTCGCAATTGCAGTGTAGACAGACAGTTATTTTACGAAAACGACGTCTTTGTCAATTTTCCTCCAGAGTATTTAACTGGCGAATCGGCAACGTTGTTAATAGAAACTCGAGAGGAAACATGGCCCAAATTTCGACGTGGAAACGTCACGTGGACGGTAAAATATATATGTGCGTGGCTCAAGGCCGACGGACGTTCACTCGTTCACATCGCGCGACGTGATGATCGGCATCGACCTCGATGCAACGATATCGCATCTGGTAGATGGTTTCCATTAAAACGCGTGCTTTGCTCGCGGATAGACTGTTGAGAACGTTGTGCGAAGCCGTGTACAATAACCCGTAGCGATTCGCACTCGCGATGATTAGCAGTAATTGTACTGTTTTGTTGCGATGGTTGACGGAAATGTTGCGCCAAGTGAGAACTGATTTCAACCGCGTGTGATCACGTTTATCCGACGCGTGTGTTTTCAGATGGTGGAAGAGTTGGCAGACCGTGTTAGAGAATCATGAATTTTTCTGTTTTTTTTTTTCTTTTGCCTATTCGAATTCTCATGGAAAAGTAGTCCACGCGTGTTTAATTCGTGAGATTAGCCGTTTCGCAAGCGGAAAAGCGTCGGGAAAATTACGCAAGAATGTTAATCATAGCGCGTGAGAGGCTGGAAATTCACGTGATTTACGTGCGAACAATAAACATTGCCTGATGAATCACGCGATCTCCTCGTACGTATATCTCTCATCCGTCAATCTTTTGCCTTTAACTGACTTACGTACTTACCACTGGCTGGACAGTAAAACGGCTTTTGTCACAGCTGGACTGGCAAAAAAATTAATTTCCTCGTCGAATTGTCCGAGTCGACGATAGGAATCGCCATGTGGTGACAGATCTCTACGTGCCGGTTGATTTAGCGACGGCACG